TTAAACGCTTACAATGTAAAACGCCTCTAAGAATGGACCTTTTTATTCCCTTAGCGGTCGTATGTGGTTAAATGCAGTGGTTCGGCAATGTTGCAAAAAGAAAAATCTTCAATAGCAATTTCATTATACCACTGAACACCATCTTAAGCCCCTTGATAGCAGCCATCAACAGTTTGAGTGACAAATGCTGATCTTTTCATATAAGATTACATCTTACTAATGGGTGTCAATTTGCAAAATCATATTCTTCCTAACAACCTCGAAAAACTTTGCAAGCCAATTCCATAGACAGCAGATAGCAGACATAGGGTTATAATGGTTATGATTAAGTTGCCCTTCTTGCACTTTCGCCATCTAATCATGTTTGTTTTTTCCTCGTAACTTTATTTTAGCAATAGTCATTCTGGAAAAGCAAAAGATTGTTTCTTTGCAGCAGATTTACTTGTCCATGGTAATAATGCTAGTGTTTAGCTCAACCCATGTGTATATGTGCAAAGTTTGGTCCAGATCGGTTCAGAATGGAATTTTCTATTCGGAACATGCGTACACACAGAGAGACAGACATACATACATACATACAGGCATACAAACAGACATTCAGACTAACGAACAAGCTCAGACAAATGACCCTTCCGCAGAGCGCTTGCGGAAGTTCCGTAAACGTGCTGCGGAAGTTCCGAAATGAGGTCCTGCGGAAGTTCCAAAGAATGCCAACCACAACAGCAAAAGAGAACACCTAAGTGAGATTTGAACCTCACTCTATTGACTGTGAGACCTACCTACTATCCTCTACGCCACGGCTGACATGTTCGTTAATGCAAATGCACTCTAGTTGTTGGCGAGGCAACATCACGAGACAACACATTCAAAGTCCCGCGGAAGTTCTGGCAGGCCAAAGTGCTGCGGAACCTCTGGCATTTTTCGGATTTTTCGCAGGATTTTGAAGAAGGTCCAGCGAGAGTTCCGGTTTTCAACCAGTTTGGCATGAAAATTCCGCGGAAGTTCCGATTTTCGACGGTTTCATTTTTGCAATAGTGAACAAAATCCTGCGGAATTTCTGCAAATTTGACTTGTCCTGCGGAAGTTCCGGTGATTTGTCTGAGAGTATGAATAAATATCTTTTTACACAATGCTTTTGTCAATGTTTTGACTTAGGGTTTCAAGTACGTCTTTTGGGAGTCTTGACTCCACCGTGTTCTTGTAGGGAATTAGTAGCGTGCCTGCCTGAGGTAGCGGGCGTGACAGTTCTGACATATGAATAGCTTTTTTCACCTTTTCTGATGAACATTTATTATGAGCTCATGCTTGAAACTCATTATACGGCCCTCTCCCCGGTCTACATGCATGTCACTTCGTTATTATATTGCGTTACTTTTGATTGCAGACTTGCAATTGCATAACTCGGACACTGTCCTGAGTATAATTTGTAGTGACAATGGTTTCAAATTGAAGTTACTAGTACAACTCAACAGCCTCAGTCTCTTGCGCTAAGATCACACGACTCGCTGGTTACCATTAATATTCGGATTTTGGGCTTGCCCAATAACGTTACATTTTCTGCCTTTCGTCCAAGCACTCCTTCATTCTAACGCTTAATATTCTTCCGGTCTCTCCTATATACTTGTTCCACATCATGCCCTCCGCTGCTAAACGACATCCTCCTTTGCGCTGCCGCTCAGTGTTTCACAAAGACAAACAATGCAGTTTCTGGTAAGCGATCTAATCATACGGTCCCTATCTCTTATATTACATACGTTGGCTAATAAATAAGTTCGGTCGCTTTTTCAGCGCTTACAAACGCTGTAGACAAATTTTTGTCCAATGTTTGGTATCTCTGAAAAGAGCACTTTATTGGGTACTGGAGCATATATTCTGTTTACGAAAACTTATCTTCCCAGGAAAAAAATCGGCAAAGAAGTGAAAAATCGCAATTTTCCCATAATGCGCAAATATGAGGAAACTTGGTTTTCTTTGTGAAACATTTTCAAAATGGCAGATCACAGTTCTTTTTGTTGTTCACTAAATAGGGATAACTCCTCTGTATCCAAACACCAAATTGCTGTTCTCTTTACGTTCATTACAGCATGAAAACGAGCTCAAGAAGTCAAAGAATTGAGCTTTTGGAAATTTCGCCATGTTGAGGCATAACTGTCTTTACTGACGATAGAAAATCCTGATTATTTGATATGTGATATAGGAAGCTTCGTACTACTTTCCCGCAAAGAACCATAGATTTAAAACAACAAGAAAATTTTTTATGACAATTTGTATGCCAAAACGAACTTACTTTTTAGCCAACCTAATACAATCTGATGTCATCCACCAGGGGTTTTAATCAAAATCGTATCAAGTTGTAATGATAATAAGCGTTTGTTTTTCAATCTTGCTTGAGAACTACGACAACTTTAGGCGAATTCTGACCTTTCAAACAATCGCAAACTTCGGTCAAACTTGGATTACAGGACTGTAAGGCTCAAATCTCCTCGCCTTTTCCCTAAAAAAGTAGCGTTAAACAACTCTTCAAAAAAACGAGATTGCGCCTCCTTCAATTAGTCAGAACTGAAAACGAGCAATTTTGAGTCATATGGGTCATATCGATCCTTACTCAAGTAAATATATTCACTCACGTTATTCATCCCTTCATTTAGCCTGCATAAATCTTTATATTAAGTATTCAATGCTTACTCGCTCTAGCGAAAACAGCAGTACAGAGATGAATTTTTGATTTTGGCCCCTTTAGCATCTGCAAGTAGAACTTGCTCTGCGGCTTGGTAGAGGTGTCCTCATCAATTGCTCGACTATTTCACAATCGGTTCCCTGCCCAACGCTCTTTAACGTCCGACACCGATGGGCCCTTCGGCGAATCCCTCGAGCCACCCCTGAAGCCTAGAGTGATTATGAGATCACAATATTAGATACATAATATCAACTTGAACACACAAGAAAAGACGGAACTACCTCCTGTGCGCGGGTATATACACCCACAAAGTTGGCGCGTGCCCGAGAGGGAGGTCCTACCGCGTGCAAACGGGAACGGACTGCGATATATAGTCGTCCTCACCCCACTAGTCGGTCGGTAGACGAATTCGAATTCGAACTGGAGCAGGCAGGTCGCGGCAGAGCACGGCACTTTAGCTCTCCGTACAAATTCACGCATTCTCTTTGCGTATTTCTTCGCCATTACTTAGCAGTTTTTGTATTGTTACAACGTTTTTGGCCTATATTGAGTTCTGTAACTGCTGAGCGTTGTCTCCTGTCGCGCTCTGCCGTGACAGGCCTGCTCCAAATCAAATTTGAATTCGTCCACCGACCGACTAGTGGGCTGAGGGCGACTATACAACGCGGGTGCAGAAACGAACTCCGCCAGTTGGGCCGCCTCCGCGGACTAATGGTCCTACAGCGACATGCAACAACGTTGCAAAAAGAATTCTCAGCGGAGGCTGCTCAAAACTGGCGGAATTCGTCTCCCTATTCATATAGCGCTCTCGGCCTCCTGCTGAAGATGCTCGCATTGCAGAAATGCTACAGCATTATTGTTCCAATGACCCGCTATTTTTTATTAGCGGCGGCGAGCTTCAGATTTGGACGAGCAAAGTCTGCGCGGAACAACAAAATGTACCCTTTGGTTCAAGAAGCAGTGGCGGCTGGAAGGCGGAACTTCGTGACCTAATTAAAACCAAGTAATGATCACAGGGCGGGAGAGACGCAGACTGCGTCGCGGGCACGACCGGCTTCAGGTTACAAAACCCGGCCTTCCAGCCGCCAAGCCAGTTAAATCAAATACGCATGATTGCAGATATCACTGCGGGCATTTTTAGATGGCGGGTTCTCTTTAATATCCAAATAGTTCAATGCCCGTGTCATTAAGGTCATATCCAGTAATATGAGGACAGTTGAAAATTGTTGAGCAAAACGTTACTAAAGTCAATCCAAGAAGCTCAGATAAGTTCATTTGTCGGCGATTGAATCAAGGGTCCAATCGATTTTATATGCTACTGGTAATCCAACTAGTCAAAGCTGTCGTGACTGCTAATCTCTGGTCAGGAAGCCACCTTAAAATCTGTACTATAAGTACATGTGTGTACTTAGATTTGTTTAGTGTAAGAGGAGTAGTGATATCTAGTAACTCGATATTCTTCCGTGCTAGACATTACTCTACATCTCGTAGTCTGTGCTACTCCTGTTCGCTCGATGCGGTCAATTAACTCACCAAAACTAAGGAGATTTCTCCGGAACGGAGCAAAAAGTTGGTATGTGGTGTTTCAATAGAATCTGTACTTTTTTGTTATCTTTATAACAACACCGTCTCAATAGACATAGAATCAACAAAAGGAAGTGAAAGAAATTTCACGGTAGTCTTCCTGTCTTCCATATTTTCTGGCTTCTTAGAAATGCTAGAATCACTTGACATACTTCAGTCATCAATTACTATTATGATTATGTTTATGCGAACAATACTTCTCACTTTTGAATATTTTTTGAACTATTAAAGCGTCTTTTTTTCCTATGAAGATTGCATGAATGCGAATAATCTCGTAAATCAAGACGATAAACAACGCTTAAAACTATTCATTTCTCCTTTTCAAGATCTGTAAAGACTAATAGGCTGTGGTTAGCTAAATTATCTTCAAAAATCAGAATTGGTCTTAGAGCAAAAGCTTACATATGCTTTATTCTGACAGCTGATTTGGTATTTGTGCTCAACAGAGTTTAGAATGCGCGCTCCTTGGCTAATTTCTACGCGCAAATGTTGTCAGCACCGCAGAGACACCATATTAACTGTTAAGTCAACTTGAGAGTCTTCAAATTTTTTTGTTAATAATTAGAAAAATGGGAAAACTCATAGAGGGATGGGATGACCTATCAGCTTCTTTTAATATTATAGTTTAAACTTTGCAAGTTTATCTTATATTTTTGTTGTACTTCAACTTTTATACTGACCACTCTTTGTTGTTATTGTTCCTTGCTGCAGCTGAAAATCGTATCAGCGTATTTTTCAGGAGCAGCGACAAAGTTGGCGCGCAGTTCAGTACTCCACAAATGGATCGAAAGAGTCGAGTAAATGGCACGAGGCGGTTGAGTGAAGGACAAACGAATGGAGCTGTCAACAACGGAAAGGTAGATCAAGGAGATAATAGTGCTAAGCAAAAGAAACCCATCAAATGGGAGGTAAGCCTACGAGGTTTTCCTTCACGTCATCCGAAGCGTGGAGCGTTTGCGGAGAGGATGAGAGTGTACTCTCATAGGGATTCGAGAAGAGACGAGGTGTTCTTTGAGTTAATTGAATAGATAGAAAAAAATTGAGCCTTAAAAGACTTTGCGAGGTGTTGAAAGAGGGGAGGAGTAATGCACTTCTCTCTACCTTTATGCAGCTGAGTTATTTATAAGCTAATTTGTGCGCTACACACCTTGCGCGTGACCTCACGACATGAGTGTTTGCATGTTGCCCATTTCAGAAGATTACTTTTGTTTTCTCCTTTTTCAAAGTGTATTTAGGCACTGTAATACGTGGCTAGACATTTCCAATGAGTTTGTTTGCGTTATACCGCTCAAAAATTCGCAGCTAATAGCAAAGTGCTACTGGGTCCCCCGCGGAAGCTGCAATTCGCGGACGTAATTACAGTAATTTTTTTGCGTCTAGTTTTACAAAGTGATGTTCCGTTCGTCTTTTTTTTCTCATCGTCTTCATTGTTTTGTCTTAGTCCCATGGTCCTACTCTCTATTTATTATGCACTTGAGCAATTTTTTCGGAAGTTCACGCATGAATAGTCTGAACACACTTCTTCCAAGTTCATTTGTAGCATGATCCTTCCTAGCGACAGCTCCCATAGAGCCCTGAACTAGTCGTACTTTCATCAAACACTGAGTTTATTTATGCTCTAAAAGAACTTTATATTTCAACAAATGCTCAATGTATGCAATTAGCATAAAACTGAGATCTCTGCATTTATTCAAATGCTAAGAAAACATTCTAATGCATCTTTTAGACTTTCATTAGGAGTGTGGCATTTTGCTACATTACCGTGTCATAGCGCAAATTTGTAATTCTCTTTGATTGGTCTCAATTTTTGCTCGATTCTTACAAAGAATAAACGTCACCGTGGAACATTTCATATCAAAGGCGCTCATTTACTGTAGGGCATACTGTAGCAGAGCAAAGGGTCCGCTTCCTCAACGCTATCCAAAGATGAAAAATGATAATTATTTCATTCGCGCTCGAAATGCAAAATCGGAATTTTTGCAAAATACTCATTTTGACAGCTTGGAAAATCTTCTTGGGTGAATTACCGCATCGAAAATGTGGCAACTGTGCCTAGAATCGAGCCCCTGACTCAGGTGGAAAAGACGGCTTGCGGCGTATTAACCCTGACGAAAGCGTCGAGACTCAATAGCTTTGTTCCAAATGATTTACACGAGCTTGAATTTTGATATTTGGAAGGGAAATTTGGCAAGGATCCGAAAAACCATTGAATGTTCAGAATTTACTTTCATTTAGAAAGTTTTCATTAAATCGCCGCGACGGAAAGATTGTGGCTAAATCGCCGGATAACCTGAATTTAGTAGGATTTGACTTTTTTGCATTCTTAGTCGTATTTTTAGAGACATTAACAAATCGGGATTGATTGAATACAAACCAAAAATGGAAAAAAAATTAAAAAAGGAAATTGGGGCTGCGACAATTTCGTCGCGATCTTTCCGTCGGGATAATTCAATGAAAACTCTTTCTGTAATAGTGAATTCTGCATTTTTATTGGTTTTTCGAATTCTTTCAGTTTTTTTCGAATATCAAAACCCGATCACGAATAATATTTCAAACAAAGTTATGGGGTCCCGACGATTTCGTGAAGGCTGATACGTCGCAGGCGGTTTTTCACCCGAATCGGGGGCTCATTTCAATTATCTTCATTTCTGAAACTAGAACTTTAAAGAAGGGCACAGGAGAAAATAACCAAAATCTATTCTTTCATTGAAATCACGATCTTTTACAAGAAGCGCTTTCGTAAAGAATAAAGTTCGCTAAACCGTACTGGAAGACTGATTCAATACCAGCTAACCTGATGCATTCATCATTCAAAATAGGAGAAATTTTAATTAGTTCTATAGCGTGGAGATCCAAAACATATGAATTATATAATATTTTATTCATTCGAAACTTGACGCTATTCAGTAGCCCCATGAGTGCACTTAATTTGTCCTGAATCAGCTCATTATGTGAATGTACATAACTAATTTATCATCTGATGTTTGCCTCAATATTCGTATAGTAGTCCTGTTTTGGCAAGAAGCCAACATCGCTTTTAGTCCTTTGCGATAAATTTCCTTGATTTACACTATTCCCTTCCTTTGTCACCTGTTTATTTTTTCATTTTTACATATGTTGTGATTCAGAAAGCAATTTTCTTTCTTAGGATTGGGAGTTTCTAGGTAAAATAAGCGAGAAAAGAAGCGCGAAGAAAATTTTTTTATCTGTAAAAAATTCTTTCTTTCAATAAGTACGTGCATCTCATTCACAGAACTTTGATCACCATCCAGAAAGCATGGATTATTATTTCCCCGCGCGCTTCACCGTCTAAGAGTAGTTTTTCTTGAAGCTTCTGGGGATTTGTACCAGCCAGTGCCAGCTTCATAAGGGCTATTATGAGGTGAAGTTTTGCAGAACTTGCAAATGACTCAGACCTTATGAATTTTTCTCCTAAGTAATTTTCAGTGTGGAGCATCATGCAGGCGCTGCTGCATCGGCTGTGCAGTTGTGTCCAAATGGGAGGCTTTCATGAATTTTCTTCTAATTTTTTGTTCGAGCATAGTGAAAACAAATAAATTCTGCTATATATCATGGTCCTATTTCAATCCTACACCCTTTCAGACCTTTTTGCGCTGTACATATAACTACTGTCTTCAGAAGATCCTGAATGGAAATTCATTGTCAAGAAACTTGGTCTATGAGCTTTTCTGCATCTTGAAGTCTGACAATAATTCTTAGGACACTTATTTGTATAGAATGACTTAATAAGTATTAGTCAAATCCCACGGAATCTGCACCCATAATAGCATTATTTATAGTGTTTTCATCTTCATTACCTTAGTAATTGCCTTCAGGGCATTAATACAGAGCGTTGACTTCCTCTTTTTAAAACCAAATCTTGATAGATCAATGCTCTGAGATAGCAAATAAGGAAAATGCGGCAAAATGCATATTATACACTTTTGAACAGACGATAAAACACTTTATTTATTCATCTATCCATGAATGTTTTACACATGAATTGAGCCTGCTATAATCAAGAAAGTTTGAGCATGACTCTAATAAACCCTGGTTTTAAAAATCCCATCATTAATTCAGTCCTATGACCATCGCTATATTCTGCATTCATCCGGACTTTCTCTATATATCGCCCCCAATAGCAATCTTTTCATTTATTCTTATTCGCTACACTGCACAGCAATGTGTTTTCTTTTATCTTCCGCCCTTACTCCGTACTTTTTGTATTTGGCACACGGATTTGCTGGAGAGGAGAGACTGGCGAGGGTTCTGCTAGACTTCCAATTACGAAAAATCTATTGTGGACGAAGTGCACAGCTTTAGACTTTTCACAACTTCATTTGTATTAATAGCAAGAATTCTGAATATATATATATATATATATATATATATATATATATATATATATATATATATATATATATATACTTAAGAATATGCGGAGTGTCCTTAAAGAAGAGAAAAATAGTAATTATAGGGAATGAGATTTGATTTTGTAAGCTTCTGCTACGATTTGCGTCATCAAGCCGTGGGCATACGTTCAATTAAGAGACAATTCTAGTTGTCCTTTGTGTGAATTTATAAGGGCCTTAAGTTTGTACCTTTACAACACACCTGCTTGAATCTAATGAGAACTGAACTAATGTGCTACCATTATAAACTACAAGGTCTTAATCCTACTATTCCAACTTTTCATCTGCTTGAGTGTGTGATTTACACTCTCCTGGGCTATCTGAGTAAGTTCTTTGTTTAAGAAAAACGATTAAATACGATCTGTTAGCGATTTCCATGGCTAGTTACAAATTTTATCTACGATTAGAGCGTATGTCACTGTAAATTTGAAATTTGTAAAAGATTCATGTAACAAATCAACCAAAAGTATTTATATCAGGTTGTCCCATAAGTTCCGTCCGTTTCAATTTTCAATCGCAATAAGTCATGAACTTCTTGGTTTTAGACAGATTCCAAGGTACCATTTGATAGAGCAAAGCAAGCTCTACAAGATAACTTTCTTGCTTTCGCACCAGTTTAAATCCATCTCAAGTTTGAAGCCAAAAACCAAAAAGATCCAACCGCCCGAAAAATAAAGAAAAAATCGTAACTTCGTTTAGAAAAATCCTAGAAAATTCCTAACTTGCTCACAGATACCCTATCCACATCAGACGTTTATATATACTGTTGCTGTATTTTTTACTTAGATAGAAATCGAAAAAACGAAAATTTTCATGTTTTTGCCAAGGTGATGCTGTGCTGTTCTCACACAAGTAGTTGTACACTACAGACCAGTAAAAGTACAGACACAAATTTTCAGCGCTCTAAAGGCTTTAGTTCTTGAGAAATAATCGTTTTAAGACGAAACACCCGACTGTACGAAGTTAAAAATGTTTCTCGAGAACTAAAGCCTTTAGAGCGCTGAAAATTTGTGTCTGTACTTGTACTGGTCTGTAGTGTACAACTACTTGTGTGAGAACAGCACAGCATCACCTTGGCAAAAACATGAAAATTTTCGTTTTCTCGATTTCTATTTAAGTAAAAAATACAGCAACAGTATATATAAACGTCTGATGTGGATAGGGTATCTGTGAGCAAGTTAGGAATTTTCTAGGATTTTTCTGAACGGATTTACGATTTTTTCTTTATTTTTCGGGCGGTTGGATCTTTTTGGTTTTTGGCTTCAAACTTGAGATAAATTTAAACTGGTGCGAAAGCAAGAAAGTTATCTTGTAGAGCTTGCTTTGCTCTATCAAATGGTACCTTGGAATCTGTCTAAAACCAAGAAGTTCATGACTTATTGCGATTGAAAATTGAAACGGACGGAACTTACGGGACAACCTGATACTATTGGAATTCTCTGCGGAATAATTCTTTGAAATTTTTTTAAGAGGCGAAGCAGCTGCAAAAGAGCAAA